TTTTTCGACTGATTTCAATCGGAACACTTGTAATGATTTCGAAGATCTAGATTCAAGAGCAATTGAAAAACAATCTTTGTTTAGCTCAAGACATAGGAACGAATGAATACTTGATAGTATTTAAATATGCTAATAAAGTTTTTATAAATTATTAAGAATAGAATTTCAAGATCTTACGTATCTTGTAGACTGACTAACACTAATTGAAATTAAGTTAATCGACATCCGAATGTGCTGAATGTATATTGGTTTTTGTCGGCATTCTGCCAATAATCAGTCGGTTAACTACTCGAATCTTGACAGATTGCTTGCAGAATGCCGACAATAGCTAGTACGCATTCATATTCGGCAACCAATTAGTCTTATTTCAATTAGAATAAGCATATATTAATTTTATCATTTCGACTAGTGTAAATGAAGATATTTTGAATATTTCAGACGATCTATATGAAATTCAAACTTTCACAGCGAAATATTTTGCAAGATGGAGGCATTAATAAAAGAATGGATCTAATGTGTCAGATTTAGGATGGTTTAAAAAAGAATGATAGAATAAATCAATCAGATGGTACATGTTTATGGAGCCATTCTTTGTACCGCACCAAAGATCAAAAGTTTACACAGTTGCTTATTCCTAAGATTTCAGATGGCTCATTAAACTGTCTAGGAAAGCATGGATTCTGATTCACGAAAACAGCTTAGTGCTGTGATGTTTATTAGCAACTTAGAAAGTGGAATGAAAGCATAGTAAGTTTAGACAACAATGTAGATGAAACTAAAAAGTAATTCTAGATACAGATAAAATAGGCCAATTATTTTATCTACGAATCCTGATTTTATGTATACTAGCAAAATTATCAATACTCAAAGATAACTATTTTAAAAATTACATTATATGTGTATTACTTTATTATTGGATGAGAACCAATTATACTATATTGACAATTTTACAAATAATGCTATCGATTCTTTTGAAGTTCCTGATAAGCACTATACTAAATTTACAGTATCTATAATTAAATAAATTTATTGCTAATTTTACATTAGTGTTAGATTATTGAATTAATTGCTTTAATGGTATACTAAAATTTAAAAATTTTCAATAGCATTGAGTGTAATTTTTGGAATGTTTTAAATAATAAAATTTTCTGGAAACATCTATATTAGAATTCGTCCGTTTTAACGTTTATTGGTTGACAGCAATCATCAACTATTATTTAAATCTAATGTGAATGCTAAATTAACGTGAACTGAATGAAATTAAGTAAGGAATTATTTTAAATACAGTACTTAGATTAATAAATGATGGGAAAATGAAAGCGCCAAGGAAATGAAGTATATGATAATCAATGTTGGATAGGTGAAAAATATCGGGAAAATGATATGGACCCGCCAAGATGATGTAAACAATATTTTTAATAATGTTACATCATAAGATCCCGTATTTTATTGTACATTATAATATGCAATTACAGTAAATAAAATATTAAATTTCAAATCAAAACCCCCAAAACAAATATAATCAAAAAATAAACCCAAATAAGTATATTTAATACAGGTCTTCAGTAATATTTGTAATTATAGGTATAACTTTTTCTGCCTTCATGAGAACATTATTTGTAAAACGTCCATCAGCATCATAACGTAACTCTTTCAAACTACCAATTCTAACAGCATAATCTATAATAAAATTTAAAGATTCATTATTTAGTTCATACATATGAATAGTTAATTTTGATAAAGGAACGTTACACTCTTTGAGAAGTACGTTTAAATGTCCTTGATCAGTTAATTTGATATCCCATTCTTCGAAAATATTACGAGCAGTTCTTAAGTTGAAATCCAATTCTTCAAGAGTGGCAGGAATTGCTTTAGCAATTTTTGAAATCATTCCTTCAGTAAATTTTCTATCATTCCTTGATTTTTTTATTTCCAAGTATTTAAGCTTCTTTAATCTTGAGAGTGCTTGCAAAAAGCAATTAAATATTGAATAATTGATAATTGTTGATAGGCAAGTAAGGTTTTCACTATAATCATAAATTGTATTTATTAAGGCTATATCACAGCCATTAAAAGATATCTTTTGCAAATTCGAACCAGCCGTTTTAATGATTAAAGAAAAAAAGGATTAAGTACAGAGTAA